AGGTAATGTTTTGAGAATCATTTTGATCTCAGACCTGCACAAGTGACTGAGAAGTGTGTTTGCCTTTGGTACAGGGGAATGCAGTAACAAGGAATGTCCATTCTTGCACATTGACCCGGAGTCGAAGATCAAAGACTGTCCCTGGTATGACAGAGGCTTCTGCAAACACGGTATGTGCCTCCCACAGTTCCTGTGCCTGCAGATCAAGGGGGAGTGTTGCTGTTCCATCTTGGCATGTTCTGCTGGGATGTGGATGTATGGAGTGGGAACTGCTGAGCTTTGTGCTGTTGCAGGTCCCCTGTGCAGACATCGGCACACTCGGAGAGTCATTTGTGTGAATTACCTGGTGGGATTCTGTCCAGAGGGCCCTGCCTGTAAATTCATGCAGTGAGTATGCTCCAGGCCTGCCCTGCAGCCTTGTGTTTCCCCTGTGGTCTGGTTCATGTCAAATGAGAGTGCTCCCGTGCTTCCCAATGGTTTGGAGATTTGCCAGTGTTTAGTTGGGCCAAATTTTTACTGATTTGAGGATTGAAAAAGTATTTACAAAAGCATGTAGTGACAGAACAAGGAGGAATGGTTTCAAACTGAAAGGGAGTAGGTTTAGATTAGGAATTAGAAAAAAAATTCTTCCCTGTGAGGGTGGTGAGGCCCTGGCACAGGTTGCTCAGAGAAGCTGTGGCTGCCCCATCCCTTAAAGTGTCCAAGGTCAGGTCAGATGGAGCTGGGGCAACCTGGGGTAGTTCAAAGTGTTCCTGCCTGTGGCAGGGGGGTTGGAACTGTATGAGCTGTGAATCTCTTCCAACCCAAACCCGTCTATGATATGGGGCAGGGCCTCTCCAGGGAGTTCCCAGTGAGACTGGCATGGTGATTAGGTGCCATCAGTGCAGTGGAATCACATGGATTTATATTCCAGAAGGCAGAGGGATATGCAACACATATGTAAAGAGAAGTGGGGAGGGGGAGGTCTGTTTCCTGTGAGCCAGATTTAACTGGCTGAATGTTTTGTTGTTTGGAGTTACTTGACTGAGCTGATGATAAAATGTTGGCATATGATTTGAGAATCAATGTTCTTGTTTCCATCTAAACCAGCCCTCGGTTTGAACTGCCAATGGGAACCACAGAGCAACCACCACTGCCTCAGCCAACACAAACACAGCAAAAGGTACCCAGATTCCCTGCCTCCCCACACAGCCACCCTCAAAGCTCTCCCACGGTGCTTTAAAATAGATTAGGTTGTCAAGTGGTCAAAATTGGGCACCCAGGCTCTGGGGTTTGGAAGGGAGAATTAAACAGTGAGCAACCCTGAGTGCCATTGTAGTGATGAAACCCCACAATTGTTCCAACTTCACATGGAGATCATGTCACAGAACACTCCCACGCCACACAGAAACACATCAGATGTAGTTGTGCAGCAGTCTGCCAGGTTTTGTAATCAGGGTGACATCCCTCCGTGATGGCAATGATATTTTAGCAGCCTGAACCTACTCTCCAAATCTGCTTTCCAGAGAAAAACAGGATCACTGGGCTTTGTAAGGCTCAGTGCTTGATTTCTTCTTTCTGCTGCTCCAGCTGGCTGAGCACCCACACACAGATTTGGAGAAAAATTGATCATTTGACATATGGGGTGCTCTTTTCCCTTCTTAACAAAACAAAAACCACAAAGATCTTTATCCTTGATGCACTTAACGAGTCAGAACTCTTCTCGTACCCAACAGAGGACACCCCAAGTCATTGGAGTCATGCAATCTCAAAATAACAACAGTGGGAACAGAGGACCCCGGCCGTTGGAGCAGGTCACCTGCTACAAGGTAATGCAGAGGGGAGGGCTCAGGTGGGAAGGCAAAAAGGCTTTTTCACAGTTTAAAAAGAATTCTGAGCTTTGCTCAGTAGACACTGTGTGGTGCCTGGATACAGGTGTGGGAATTGGCCTTGAGTTCTGAGGTCGCTGCCTTGCTGTGACAATGACAAATTCTGTAGGACTTTGCTGTCTGCTAATAAACAGGAAAACCCTGACCCAAAGACTGGAAGGAGACTGCCAAGCTGCACATCTCAAAATTAGAGTTAATAGAAATTTTTGTCTCATAAGCTGATTTGCTTACACTGGTGGGTGTAGATTCTCTTCTCCTGGGAGGTCATTGAAAGTAGCAAATTAAGTTTGCACAGCCTGCTCAGTGTTTGAGCTGTAAATGTGGTGTCAAAGCAAGGAATGAGTTGTTCACCTCGGTTGCTCATTGAGGAGCACCAGAAAAATTTGGACACAAGTTTCCATCTCCTTATTTTTCCACAAAAGCCACAGTCACTAGAAAAGGACAAAGAATCTTCCTGTCCCTTTTGCCCTGACAGTGACAACATTTTACATGTCACCTCTGAGCCTTAGGTGCATGTTTGGGTGAAAGTCACTGTGATTGGAGAGGGATATTAAATAGCTGAATCCATTTCACTGAAAACCTTTAATAGCTGCCTCTTTAATCTGCAAGTGAATTACAGATCTGGAGAAGGCTGTTGCACCAGGCACTGGCATTTCTGTGTGTTTGAGTAGCTTCAAGATGCAAAGTCACGAATCTGTGACTTTCTCAAGTTCAGAGGTGCTTTTCTTTGTTTATTCATGAAGATCAGAAGAGTCCCCATGGATATGGTGCATATCACATGGAATAGTCTTAGAATAACATGGCATCAGGTTACTCCCAGCATAGAAGCAGTTTTTGCTCCTGGTAGCAGCCCATAAATCCTGTCCCTCCTGACACCCTGTTTCACTGCACCTGCTAAATGCTGCATCTTCCACGTGTGGAAAAGCTTCCAAATGGGAGCACTTGCTGGGTGCCTTAACAAAGGCAGCTAGGAGGAAAGAGCTGTATCCCTGCAATAATTCCTGTCTCTTTCTCTTCCAGTGTGGTGAAAAAGGTCATTATGCCAACAGATGCACCAAAGGACACCTGGCCTTTCTCAGTGGACAGTGAAGGAGCAGCAGGAAGGTGCAAGGGAGCTGTTACCACTGAGGAAAGGTTTCTGCCTAGCACAATGTCTGGAGCTATTAATCAGGTTGTTTTTTTAATGCCATTACTGAAAGAACTGGTCAGAGGCTGGCTGCTGCTAAGCAACATTTTTGTAATTGTTCCCAACTTTTTTTAAGTTTTAACCTTTTTAAAATCAATTTTGGCCTCCGCCTGTGTTCATTGAGCCCTTATGAAAGGTAGATCTAAACGCCAGTAGATAAACCAAGCCCTTACTGGTGCAGCACTCCACATAAACACATCTTAGGCCAGTGTTTCTTTAAAGTATTTTCCTTCTGCCACTTCTCTTTGGAGAATCTGCAGCGTTTCAGCCCTCCCTGTGGAAAGCAGGAAGACTGACTGGGAAAACTTAACACTTGCAATGCCTTCTCCTCAGTGAGGAAGCAGGGATTCTGCTGTCCTGTAGCTCTTCAAAAGCCAAGTCCTGTTTCCAGGTCAGCCTGGTGAGCTTGTCCTGGTGGCTGACAAACCCCTCACGTACATCAGGCAGTAAAACCTGTGTCCACTCACTTTGTTTCTGTGCTTCTTGCTGTGCTGAAGGTTAGAAATCAATCTTCTGGGAGAGAACTGATCAGGGGGACAATAAATTGGCATCTCTCTCGTTAGCCAGACAATAAGGAACAATGATGATAGGAAAGCTGCAGCTGTGCTCAGTTCCCACTTGCAGAAAGGAGGGACAAGAGCACAGCTTGGAGTAGGAATAGAAGAGCCTTGTCTCAGCCCCCATCACCCAGCTCACTCTGAGCAGGTATTCCCACACTAGAGAGCATCTAGTGTGGGAAGTGGAGCTCTTTATTCTTATGGAACACAGCTTTTAAAGTGTTGGTAGAGATCCCTTCTGAAAGCATATTTTTTTTCTACACAAACCCCGTTTAATTTGAGATGACTATTTCAAAAGGGCCAATGACAAAATGTGAATTAAAAGAAAAAAAATACCCACAATGTGAGCCTTATTGATTCTACCCCATCTCTTCATTTGCTGCCTGCCTTTATACTTTGTTTTTATTGAAATGTACTGATGGCAAAAGCTGGCTGTGAATTTATTTTTCTTGAAGAACAAGGTAAATGTGGCTGGATTAAGAGAAGTGACCAGAGCCTGTGTTGGTGTCCATGACTGCAGTTATTTCACTGTGGAAGTTTCAAGTCTGGAGTCACAGACCATCAGACACTGATAACACTCTGTGCCCCCCTCAGACTGAGCTGTGATCTGTTTGTAAATGGGTATGTGGAAAAGGAGCTAGAACAAAACACTCCAATGCCTGATCACCTTCCCCACCCAGTTCAGGAGCTTTTGGGCTTCAGTACCAGTTTTCCAACACTGAAAGCCTTCCTGTAACCACTGAAGCTCTTGGGAGATTCCTCATGTTGCTCAAGAAGTAGTTTTCACCCTCCCTGCTGTTCAGGTGGGCAGCAGTGCCCAGCCCCAGGTGCTGGTGTGATTTTGGGGCATGAGGAAGCTCAGAGCTGGGGCCAAACCCACAGATGCTCCTTTGAGCTGCATTTAAGAAGGAAAGTTTTCCTTTATTTTGACAGATTAAAAGTCTGAAGCTTATTCCCACTCAGAATGACCTCCCAGTTTTGGCAGTGAAAGGAGTTCTGATGGAAATTTTGGGTTACCTGAGGCAGTGAAAGAGAGCTGCAGCCCTGTCTCCTCTCAGAAAGTGCTCTGCAATGATGGAAAACTGCCCAAAACACCTCCAGCCCCTGGTGACAGCCTGACTGAGAACCAGAAACAGCCACAGGGCACACAAAGCTCAGATAGTCTTTCAAATCAAAACACATCCTCTCAGCCCCTTGTCCAGCCTGTCCCTAATGGCCAGGAAGAAGCAATCCCATGCTATCACTTTTATCAAACAGGAATCAGTTACCAACAGTTCATGATACAGCCCAAGGAGCAGCTGCTTTCCCTCTGAACTTACCCTGAGGGGTGAAACTCTCAGAATACAAATTTATTTGCACCATTAACAACTCAATTAGGAGAATGTCAGCTCAGGAAATGTAAAGTGTATGCACTTTATTATTGGTCACAAGAGTACAGGTTTAATATCCAATAGTTCTGATGTCTTCTGTCAGGGCAGCTGTGCCAGGAGCTGCAGCTTCACCTTCTGAGGGGGTCTCAGTGGTATTTCCTCCTGCGGTCGTGCTCTGCAGCAAAGCACAGCAAGTTAATTCTGCTGAACTCACAAGAAAAAAACTCCACCACACCTGAAATTGCAGGCAAGAAAGCATTCTGAAAATCCCCTGAGCATTTATTTTCTAGGTGCTGTCAGGTCAGACAGACACGAAGATCTAAACTTTCTTCATTGCCAAGAAAATACTCAGCATTCAAGTTTTCTAAAGCTAAAAGAAGTTTGTTTGTCAACAGTCTTTCTTTTATTTCTAAAAGCAGCAGCAGGTGATTGTTTTTATCCCCCAGGCAACCTTCCAAGCTGCCCTGCACACACTGAGCCATGGTTTTTACTTACTGATATGACTGTAGCTCCACATGTAGCTGAGGACAATATACCCAGCCAGCAACATGGAGAGACCCCCGAGGCCCCCCTTCCTCACATTGATGTATTTGTTGTAGTATCTCTGGTGACCTGTGGAGGAGGAAAAGGTTTCAGAGCAGCCAGATGAGTTGTGTGTTACCCTATGAGAAAAAGAAGCAGCCTGGATTCACAAAAAAGAAATTGGTGCTAATGAAACATTTGAAGGTCTCAGAAGCAAGTCTGAGAGGAGGCAACCTGTGTGTTGGTTGAGCAAGGTGATCCAAGTTAAAAGACTTAAGCCTTAAAAAATAAACAAACAAAAGGGAAAAAAAAAAAAATTTTCCCTTTTTTTCCTAAATATTATTATGACTTACATGAGCTCAAGCTCCTTTTGAATTATCTTCCATACAATATATACATGCACACATGAATTATCAAAGGCAGACACATGTGACATTTTGTGTTTAAATCTACCTGAGCGACATTTGTATCTACAACAAATGACATTGGCCCCAAGTGATCCATAAGGGCTCTGTCTCCTCTTTTACCATCCCTAGGGATCAACTGCATTTTAATCCTTTTTTGTTTACTTGATGCTGTGAAACCCCAAGATTTCCAGCCAAAGGGTTCAGGACTAAAGGCATCCCATTTCCCCTTTATTCAAGAAGGAACACTGAGAACAAACATCTAGCGCATAAAACCCACACGAGAAATAAATTTACAGATGGAAAAACGATGTTACAGGAGAAGCTGCTCTGGGAAGGCAAAACTGGCCATGGAGCAGCCCCTGCGCTGCCAGACACCCTCCCCTCAGGCATCATCCTCTCTGACAGGCAGGGATTACTGTGCGCTATTATCCCTGGCTCCCTCAGGAGAAGGAATGAGGGTCCCGCACCCTCCGGGCCTCCCCGCATCCCCCTCACCTCTCCGGATGGCCCCCAAGATGCCGCCGGGGGTGAAGTCCCTCATAGCCAGCCAGCTGCCCAGCTGGCCCAGCTTCACGTCCATCAGCTTGGTGTCCTTGAGGAGAACTGCGGCAGGGAGAGGGAGAGAGCCGGGTCAGCGCGGGGCCGAGGGAGGGAAGGAGGGGAACGCCGCGGTCACCTTGATCCCCCCGCACTCACCCGGCTTCGCCATCTTGGTGTGCCCGGAAGGGACGCGCGCGGGGGCTAGTGGGAAGAGGGAAGGGCGGGAACGCGGGCGGCGGGCGGGACGGGGCCGCCGCCATCTTGGGTGTGCCACGCCGCCATGTTGGGTGTGTCACGGCCCCTTCATGAGGGACCATGGCGGTCCCGGTGCCGCCTTGAGCCCGTCCAGCCTGTCCTAGGGACAGGACAAGGAGTAATTGGTACTAATTGGAAGTGGGGGAAATTTTGATTAAATATGCAGAAAAAATTTCTCCCTGTGAGGGTGGTGAGGCTGTGGCACAGGTTGCTCAGAAAAGCTGTGGCTGCCCCATCCCCGCAAGCGTCCAAGGCCAGATTGGACGGGGAATGTAGCAACGTGGTCTAGTGGAAAGTATCCCCGCCCATGGCAGAGGGTTGGAACTGGATGATCTTTAAGGTTCTCCCAATCCCTCAACATTCCATGATTCTGTGATCTCCTCTCTGGGAGCCAATTTCCCAGTGGGGGCTGCACACTCTGGCCCAGGTGCCACAGGCACTGTCAGCCTGGCAGAGGGCTGGGGCACCTGAGGGATTTTCCCTTCATTTGCAGTCCAGCAGGTCCCTTCATCAGCTGTGCTCTTCCTCAGGGGATGGTAAACAACTCCTGATCATGTCCCTCAATCCCCCAGGGCAGCGCCTCGCACCGTCCCACGTTACGGGGTGTCAGGTGCCCTCCTTGCAGCGCTTCAGATTGTGAGGAAATATAGAAAAATTCACAAGTTGTCATCAGCATCTTCACACGTCTCCATCAGCAATCTTGTCGATGTCCCACAAATGAACCTTCTCCAGTGTGTTCTTAAGTTACAGCTCTAGCACAGTAAATATGTGCTCACAGACAACATATACTGCAAAATACATTGAAATTGACACTTATTGTACTGTAAGAAGTTCATTTTCAGTGCCCACTGAAGACTTTTCCCTGTGGGAACATGCTGTGTTCTGCTCCAGCTCCTCTGGAAGGGTGTCAAAGGCAAAAGGAGAGGCTGGGTTGGGGTATACAGTGTAAATAAACCCGTATAACCAGAGTGGTTGAGCAGTTAATGTGCAGATAAATATAAATTTTATTTTCCTGAAACAGGAATATCCAGAGTTGGAAGGGATCCACAAGGATCAGAGTTGAACAGAGTTGTGCTGGCCCAGCACAGAGCAGTCTGTGCAGCCCTGAGAGTGGCTGCGACCATTTCTTGGGGAGCCTGGTCAGTGCCCCACTCCCCTCTGGGAGAAGAACCTTTTCCTGGTATTCCCCCTGACATTCCAGCCATTCCCAGGGAGCAGAGATTGGAGCTGGCCCTGCTCTGCCCCTCAGGAGGAGCTGTAACCCTGATGAATCTCCCCTCAGTCTCCTCCAGCAGAACAACCCAAGTCACCTCAACCACTCCTTGTTTTGCTTCTCCCCTTGACCTTTCCCCATCTCTGTAGCCTCCTTTAAATTGCTTTATATATTGTATTGTGATGCCCAAAACTGCCTGCAGAACTTGAGGTGAGGCTGCATCAGCTCAGAGTAAAACGGGAAAGAGCCACCCAGATTTATTTTGTTTTTCCCCAGAGCCTTGCTGGGGGGTTTGGGCACACCTGCAGCCCTGGGTGGTGGCACCAGGTGTGATTCCAGCAGGTGTCACTCGCAGGCAGCGGCTGCGGCTGATGGTCCCCGTGTAGTGACCTCTAGAGGCTTCAAATCCTCCCGTGCAGGTTCATGGCAGTGTCAGGGTTTGTTGTTGTTTATTGTGCTGAAGCAGAAAAGCAAAATGCTGCAGTGTTAAACAGGGAGCAGCCGCTCCCCCGCTGCCCCTGACAGGTCAAACAGCACCCCGGGATTCCGGGATATGAAATCTCCATCCCACAGAGGACTGGTAGAGCGGATCAGAGATGAAAACTAAATTAAGGACGCTGAAAGGAGCCCACAGGGCTCCCACATAAACACTAATCTCTGCAGCTTTTACTTCTCAGCTCACAGAGTCTTATTCCATACTCCTCCCTCCTGCCACTGCAGGATTCTTGGAGTCTGCAGGGTTTTGCTACCTGGTATTAAATGAGCTGAGGGACTTGTGCTGTCTGAAGATACATGGAACTGTGTCACACATCACAGGCTGGTATCCATGTTTAGCTTCACCTTCTATTTTACCAAAATTAATTTATTTACATTGAGTACTTCTACAGCATAGCATAAATAACATAACATCACATAATTTTTTTAAAAAGGCAGAAGTAATACATTGCTCGCAGCTTGATTTTCATTTTTTTTTTCCTTATTAACAGAAAGTAAGATTAGGAATGTATAGTGTGTCTGATCACCTGAAGAAAGGGTTCCAAATTTAGACCCTGCTAAATGAGTTTAAAATCCTCTTATGAAATTATCCTTTATTTTATTATTGGACTTTACCGGTAACTGTCGTTTTATGGCTGAAGTGTCCCCTGATGAACTACTATGTGCCCTTTTTACAGTACTTGCAGAAAATCATGCTCCAAACTTGCTTCCCTCATTCTTGCAAGGCAACCTATTGTTTTAAATAGGATTACTCATGCAAGGCAGATTAATTCACCTACAGGAAGAAAGCCAGTGGCGGGGGCCTCGTTTTAAGGAGTTCCCTGCAGAGCAGAGGAGCACATAAAGCTGCTCAAACTGCTTATAGCAAGATCTGGGGAAATTTGGATTGTTAGGGTAAGAATGGACATCCTCAATGAGGATCCATCTCCAATTCAATTAGAGGCAGCAGTGACTCAAGCCTTGGCCTGAGCTGCCCATGCTGGCAGGGTGAGAGGAGCAGGGCTGTTCTCTTTATGCCACCTTAACCTGACCCAGCAGGAAGAGTGGAATGGTACAGATGTGCACGAGGTTTTGCTGCACATTTCCTGCTTTTGACCTGTGCTGCTGGCCAAAACTCAGGGTCTTGTTGGTGGATCCAGATGGGAGGATCTGTGACAAAGATGTTTCTGATGTGTTTCTGTTTGCTTACAAGAATTCTCGTGGCCCTTTTTTCCTGACCACAGAAGAATTCACACACTGAGAACCAGTTGCCATGCTTAGAGCTCCACACCTGCTCCAGGCAGCAATGTGACCCCAAATCCTTGTATTCGGTCCAGGTCTTATATCAATGATTGTTCAGGCTCTTTGAAGTTTCCGTTCTCTGATTGTTTCCGTACTCTGTCTTTCTGTCTCTTCCTCCACCTGAACCGTAGCATCCACACATAACCTTCTTTCCTTTTAATATCCTACTCCAAATTGTCCTGCCAGAGCCTTCAGGTTCTTGAGCAATCTTGTATTGTGGGTGGCAATAGACTTAATGTCTCTTTCAGCTACCTTAAATAAAGGAATGCAGTTAAACCTACCAATTTCAAGAAGGTTTAACCCAACCTCTAAAAATAAAAGCCTAATGGAGTGTTGCCCTGAGGTTTTCATCTTAGTGAAGACCTCTCTAGAAAATGCTGTGAAGTTTGTACATAATGGCACAGAAATAATAGAAGTAGAAATAAAAATAGAAATAAATTCAAAAAACACAGAGCATTTTGCAAAAGACGTCAATGGATACAAAAGAGATTTCCTTTCTCTACTAACAAGGGTAACACATAATATTGCAGATTTTAGTCCAAAGATTCAGATGCGGCCCAAAAAGTTAAGTCACACTTCATCTGAGTTGCTGAAAAGGAGAAGTAAAAAGCAGAACAGCCTCCCTCAGAGGTTGGGATCATGTTTCCTGTTCCATGTGCCACCCTTTGAAGACTCAGGGTCTCACCTGGGTGGGTGGTCAGTGGTCCTGCAGGAATACACAGACACAGCGTCTGCAGGTGTGTGAGAGAGCACAGAGTGGCCTTCAAGAAGGTCAAGAAACGAGGATTTACCTAAATGATCCCGTGCCCACTGAAACTGATGACAAAGCACCCAGTGCTTTTAATAAAGGATCAAACCTTCAGTGGTTTGTGGACCAGATACGGTTCTGAAACATGTGGTTTGGCACAGGAAGCCTCTTGGCTCCAAAGCACTCATTTCAATCTGATGAATTCCCACCAGCACAGGTTAAGGAGCTGCAGCCATCAAGGAGAAAGAGAAATCACAGGCTACCAGCTCTTGCAGAAGCTCAACAGAGAGATGCACATTCTATCAGCCAGTAATTTGGAGAAAAGTTATGGCCCCAGGTTGCTTCATCCAGTCAGTTATTTTTTAATTGCATGAACAGTCTGGTGTGGTGAGAGCAGAGCAGCTGCTGGGGTTTCAGCATCGTTCATCTAAAATTGTGCTGGCAGTGGAAACCAGACTCCAGCGTTGAATAGGATAAGAAAAGGGTGTGGAGTTTGAAATCTCTTCCATGGCCAGACCTCCTCAGGAAATGGTGAATTGCCTTGCAGAGATAATAATACCTAGGGATTGACATGGCAAAAGCAGTTGAGAGAATGAACCTGTGATTGCAAGCAGATTGCTTGCTCTGTGTTATTATAGAGCCATTTTCCTTCATCAACCTCAAAACACTTTGCAGAGGAGATCACTTACCAATGATTAATAGTTTAGCATGTACATAGTTCTTTTCTCCTTCACAGCACTTGAGTGTTGATGCATCTTCATGCTCCTGTGATAAAATGTGTACATTAATGTTGTGATCATCTTTTTAAGTGGTGAAATTTGAGCCCTGGGTTTAGGAGTGGGGAGGGGGAATTCCTCCCTCCTCCTTTGGTCCTGCCTTGCTGGCCTTTGCTTGTATCTGGTGTCAGTTGCAAAAGTACCTTATTTTATAAGTCTTTGATCAGCCTGGTGGTTAGCTAAATATATACCTGTGGGGAGATAATTACATGCTATCAGTAGTAAAGTGTACTAAAATAATGTACGTTAATTAAAACACTTGCAAAACCAAAGCAGGAATTTTCACAGAGATAAATCTGCTGCAGCAACAGCTGTATCTGAGGCTGCTTCCCAGAGACAAACATGAAAATAGAACCAGGGACCAGTAAAACCCAGTTTCTTCATGCTAAAAAGAGGAAAGACATGTACCCACTGGGAATGGCATAGTGATATCAGTCCAGAAGGGCAGGGTGATC